GCCCTCCTCCTTGGGAAGGGAATCTGTGCAGATGGAGAATGGAAGAATGGATGGGATGTGAATGGACACACACATGGGCAGGACCCATGGAGAGGAAAGAGGTCTCATCTGTACATGAGGCAGGTTGAATGGGAAATGAAATGTCCCTTTACTCATCGAAGCCTACAGCAAAACTGGAGTTTGTTACTAGAAGAAATTCAGAACAAGGGGGAGGAGTTAACAATAAAACAAAGGGCTACAAGGAAAACAACATTCACTCTCTGGGGCCTGGAAAGGGGAAGAAATCTGCTAATGTCTTCCTGTGAATTGTCCTTTCACCAAGCCAGAGCTTCACCAAGCAAAGCTGAGTCCGCCGAGTGTGCGTGTTCCAGAGCTCTTTTCGGTCAAGCTGGGGGTGCGGTGATGGTCTTGAGAGGCTCCCTGCCACACGTAGGGCAGCGAGAACCACTCCTCCTTTGTGGCTGAGCCCAGGGCGTGATTGATGGCTTTGGAGGCGGGGGTTGGGCTGGCTGTGAGCAACTGGGATCCAGGAAGACCCCGCCTGCCCTTTTGAGGGCCAAACCCCTGTAGGTGTGGTTGGCTGCTGGGAGGTAGAATCCTGTGCCTGCCTCTTGGAGAAGAAGTTGGGTTGTGGATGGAAGAAAAAGAAGCAATGGTGAGACTAAGTGGGCTCCTTTCTGGCCAAGATGGTGCACTGTGGCGGGCTTGGGAGTTGCCTGTGAGCCGTGGGTGGACTTGTTCCAGTGAGAACCACTGCTCCTTTCTGGCCTACTTGGGGTCACCACTGATGGCTTGGGAGTGGGGGCAGTGGGCTGGGTTTGAGCGAATGGGATCCAGGAAGCCCCAGCCTGCTCCTCCAGGGGCCAAGTCTTCCACTTCTCTGCTGCCTTGGGGAGTCCAGCTTTAAGGCTGCCCAGCACGTGCTGCAGCTTGAGCATTAAGCCTTCCTGTGTGGTCTGTACTGTAGAGGACCCTGAACCCATGTAGGGTACCTTTGGGGGGAAATCCCAGCCAGAAAGAATTCTGGCCACCAGGTCAACCCATTAAGTCGAATGGGGCGAGCTGGAGGCCTGGTGACTTGGTAAGCTGGGCCAGCAGGTCAAGCTGATTTCCCCGCATGTGGAGGAGGTGGCTGCTGACGTTCGCCCTTCCCGCTCCCAGCGCTCCTGCACCCCAAAATCCCTGTAAGCCAGCAAGACGAGCCAGGAGACCAGAGAGAGGAGGCAAAGAGGTGGCCGGAGCCTCCTCTGGTGAGGATGCCTCTGTCCACCTCCCGCTTTGCTGCTGGGTGCCAAGTCCCTGGCGGCCAGTATGTGAAGCAGGGAGAACAGGGTGGGGCGGCAAGTGGCAGCAGGACTCTTGCTGCCAGGGTCTAGCTGCCTGACTTCCTCCCCATGCCGCTGGGCCCCAGTCGCCTTCAGCCACCAGGTAACCCAGGAACTAAGGTGGGAATGGGGTGAGGAAGCAAGTCAAGCTGAGCAAGGCAGGCAAAAGTTCATCTTGCCTTCGTGGGTGCTCGCAATGATGCCCTTTTTGTGTGCCATGGCTGACAAAAATGTCCCAGACAGAGAAGCAGCAGGCCAAAAAGGTGCTCTGGAGGTGCCAAAGTAGCTCAGTGGGGAGAGCATTAGACTGAAGCTCTGGAGGTCCCTGATTTAATCCCAGGCTTCAGTGTATACTTTGGTTCCTTTGTGTGCAGGGGTGGGCTGTTTTCTGGAAGCTCAGCATTGCCTTTACCCACCATGAGTCCCTCATTTCAGGCTCCCCAGCAGGAAAAGACAGCGTGGGCTTGTGCACCGATTTGGCCCGCCTGAGCTTTCTTTCTTCTCTTGCTCTTTCTCAGCAAGGGGAAGAAAAAGAAGCTCTCCTTCAAGCAAGAATCACAAGGGTGATGTAAGGATGACTTCCTGGGAGCTGGCTCCGGTCCTTTGCTCTACCAGCTGACCTATCGAAGGGCTGCCACCACTTTCTCCAGGTTTGCCCATCGGTGTGTGCCAGGGCGAGCACCAGCCGAGCAGATGGAATTTGAAGGGAGGGGCAGAGCACTGGGACAGAGTTTCTGTAGCGTCGTGGTTATCACGTTTGCCTAACATGCAAAAGGCCCCCATTTTGAAACCGGGCAGAAACATGATGGCTTACTTTTCCCAGCTCCTCTAGCTGTCCAGCAAGGTGCTCCTCCTTCTATCACTGGCCTGTCCCTGGGATAACCCCAATGCCTGCAGGACAGAGGGTGGTGAAATGAGCTGAGAAAGCACCTTGGCCTCAGCCTAGGAAAGCTAGAGGATCTAGGCCAGTCACCTTGTGAAGCCTTGTGGCTTGGCCTCCTCTTCCCTTGGAGGTTGGCCTACGGAGGCCGGCTCTTCCTGTTGGCCTCTTTGCTGGACTTGCCAAAGGAGGAAGTGAGGCAGAAATGGGGCAAAAGAGGAAAGTCATGCTGAGGAAGGCAGGGCAGAAGCTGAGCGGCTAAGTGCTGCTAAGTGGGGTTAGTAGAGCTCCATCATTCGTTCTGCCAAAGCCTGGGGAGGTGGAGTTGGCTGCTGGGAGGTAGAATCCTGTGCCTACCGCTTGGCTTCCCAGGGATGGCTACTTGCAGCCCAGGAGAAGAAGCTGGGTTCTGGGTGGAAGGAAAAGAAGCAATGGTGACTCCGAGTGGGCTCCTTTCTCGCCAAGTCAGTGTGCTACGTTGGGCTTGGGAGTTGCTTGCGAGCCGTGGGTGGACTTGTTCCAATGAGAACTGATGGTCCTTTCTGGCCAACCTGGGGGCACCAGTGACAGCTTGTGACATGGCAGGGGGCTGGCTTTGAGTGAATGGGATCCAGGAAGCCCCAGCCTGCCCCTCCGGGCCCAAGTCCACTGCTTGCCTCCTGCGTTGTGACATCCGGATTTTAATCTTCCTAGCATGTGCTGTGGCAAGTGTATTAAGCCTTCCTGGTTGGCCTGCTTGTTACCAAAGTAGCTCAGTTAGGATTGCATTAGATTGAGGAGCTGAAAGTTTCTCGCCTGGTTCCAGGCTTTAGCACACCCCTTCACCCTGGGCGTGTAGTGCTGGGCTTTCTTCCAGGTGTGGAGCTGTGCCTTGAACTCACGAGTTTTCCGAACTTCAGAGGCAACACTTGCAGAGGGCGGTATGTGGGGTCACGTGCCCCACCTGCGTTAGCATCCCTGCTGCATCATGTGGTCCTGCCAGGCTCCCTCCCTGCACAGCAGCTGCTGGAGGGGGAAGTGGAGAGGGGCTGCGTTTGCTGCTTCCCTTCCCTGCATTGTTCACACCTGGGAGGGGCTGCTGATCCTAACGGAGTGGGGCTGAACCTTGAAATTGTGCCCTTCCCCTTCCTTCGGGAGACACCAGTCGCCAGTGCCTGGTTTCCACTTCCTCAGCCAGAGGAACAAGAGTGGCCAGCCCTTACTTTCTTTCTCGTGAAGGGGAGGGAAAAAGAACCACTTTTTCAAACCCGCATCCTGCCGTTAACTGAGGTGTGACTTTCTGAGTTCCTGCTACAGTGGAGGATTCAGAGTTAGTGGGGCCCCGAGTGCAGCTTCATTTCGGGGGGCCCCCTCGGGACACATCCAAGAAAAAGAACGTTCTCTCCTATCTCCCCCCATTTTTCATTTTTTTTCTTCATCCTTCTCCTATATTATAAGTAGTGGGAAGTAAATGAACATAAAGTGAGGTACCTTGATTGGGACAGGGGGTTGGGGTGCAGGAGGGGTTGCGGGGTCAGGCAGGAGGGAGTTTGGGTGGTGGATGTGAGCTCTGGGCTGGAACAGGGGGTTGGGATGTGGGCGGGGGGAGGAGTGTGGGCTCCGGGAGTAAGTTTGGGTGTGGGGTGCGGGCTGTGGGCTGGGACAGAGGATTGGGGTGGGGGGGTTGAGAAGTGTGGGCTCTGGGAGGAAATTGGGTGCAGGGTGCGGGCTGTGCACTGGGGCAGGGGGTTGGGGGTGCAGGAGGGAGTCGGGGGGTGGCATTTATCTTGGGCAGCGTGGCTCACAAAATGACAGGCACACACACCCCTCCAGCAGCGACTCCTAGGTGGGAGGGCAGGGGGTCTCCGTGCACCGCTGCCTGCATGCTCTGCCCGCACAGCTCCTATTGGCCGCAGTCCCTGGCCAATGGGAGCTGCAGAGTTGGTGCTAGGGATGGGGGCAGCGCATGGAGACGCACCCCCCCAGGGGATGCAGGGACATGCCGGCCACTTCTGGGAGCGGCGCGGCATGGCTGGAGGGCGGCAGAGTGGGCAGGGAGCCACCTTAGTGCTGCTGGCACATCTCTGCACACCCGTTTGGGGGAGGGGAATTCACTATTCTGACCACAGGGCAGCAGAAACTGTCTCTGAAACCGTAATTCATGGTGTTAAGGACCTGGCTACTGAAGAAACAGTACACCATTTAAAATGTGCCCCGCACTGCGACACTTTTTTAACCAAACGCAAGTAAAAATGAATAAACTAATTTCAGGAGACAATATGAAGGCAAGGACAAAACCCTTTCTTAAAGAAATTATTTGCACTGCTTAGCAGAGTTATATAGCAACTACCATAACAAGTCACTCGAGAACGTTAAAAAAACAAAGAGAGAAAGTTGCCCAAACTTATTCGTAATAAACATCTAACTGTTTATTAGAGTATAACGGAACAGTTGTGAATTGGCAATGTGTCAAATTGCGAAAACAAATTCCCTGTTAGGACCAGACACAATCTGGGTTCAGTCACAGTGCATCCTAATGTTATTCCAAACAGTCTTGTTCACTGACCGGTTACCCATATTGAATGCAGACACAGAAATATTAGATAAATTGGTTACTGTCCATTCAGCAGGTTAATTTCTACTTATTTATATTTACTGAAGATGCCCTAAGCTGATGGGAGAGAGCTCGCCCGTCCGTGTAGTTAATCCACCTCCCTGAGAGACGGTAGCTGTGTTAACGGGAGAAGCGATGTCGGTGGGTGTGCAAGCTGTGGGGCCTACATGTATAGATAAAGTGTAATCAGCTATGATCATCAGGGGGCTGTAGCTCAGTGGTCGAGTTTTTGACTGCAGATCAAGTTGCCCTTGGTTCAAATCCAAGTGCCCCCTTAGAAACCTGATCCTTTAACAAAAAATTTTGCACATCCATTTCCATTATGTTCATTCCACTGAATGGGGATGCTTGAAATGAATGGAAACACTCAACGTTTTCCTGTGCAAATGCATAAAAACCGAGCAAACAGGTCCCTCAGCTGAAATCAGTTTTAATCCTCTAAGTGTCTTGTTTTTGTTATCATCAGTTAAACAAAGGTATAATATCAATGCACATTTGCAGGTCTTGGTCTGCCTGGGCTACAATGTTCAAAAGAAAAAGAACCACATCCATTTGGGAGGAATGGACTAGTTTGTGTTACATTCGGTAAGTAAGTTGCCATTGGGACTGAAAACTCTACGGGAGGTGGACAGGAACCTCTTACAAAAATGATATAACCAAGATTTACCAAAAAAGAAAAGGAGGACTTGTGGCATCTTAGAGACGAATAAATTTATTTGAACATAAGCTTTTGTGAGCTGCAGCTCACTTCATCGGCTGTATTCAGTGGAAAATACAGTGGGGAGATTTATATACACAGAGAACATGAAACAATGGGGGTTACCATACACACTGTAACGAGAGTGATCAGGTAAGGTGAGCAATTACCAGCAGGAGAGCCGGGGTGTGTGTGTGGAAAAACCTTTTGTAGTGATAATCAAGGTGGGCCATTTCCAGCAGTCTGAGGAACAGTGTGGGGGGGAAATAAACATGGGGAAATAGTTTTACTTTGTGTAATGACCCATCCACTCCCAGTCTCTATTCAAGCCTAAGTTAATTGTATCCAGTTTGCAAGTTAATTCCAATTCAGCAGTCTCTCGTTGGAGTCTGTTTCTGAAGTCTTTTTGTTGTAATATTGCCACTTTTAGGTCTGTAATCGAGTGACCACAGAAATTGAAGTGTTCTCCAACTGGTTTTTGAATGTTATAATTCTTGACATCTGATTTGTGTCCATTTATTCTTTTATGTAGAGACTGTCCAGTTTGGCCACTGTACATGGCAGAGGGGCATTGCTGGCACATGATAGCATATATCGCATTGGTAGATGTGCAGGTGAACGAGCCTCTGATAGTGTGGCTGATGTGATTAGGCCCTATGATGGTGTCCCCTGAATAGATATGTGGACACAGTTGGCAACGGGCTTTGTTGCAAGGATAGCTTCTTGGGTCAGTGGTTCTGTTGTGTGGTGTGTGGCTGCTGGTGAGTATTTGCTTCAGGTTGGGGGGCGCTGTCTGTCAGCAAGGACTGGCCTGTCTCCCAAGATCTGTGAGAATGATGGGTCATCCTTCAGGATAGGCTGTAGATCCTTGATGATGCATTGGAGGGGTTTTAGTTGGGGGCTGAAGGTGACGGCTAGTGGCGTTCTGTTATTTTCTTTGTTGGGCCTGTCCTGGAGTAGGTGACTTCTGGGAACTCTTCTGGCTCTATCAATCTGTTTCTTCATTTCAGCAGGTGGGTATTGTAGTTGTAAGAATGCTTGATAGAGATCTTGTAGGTGTTTGTGTCTGTCTGAGGGGTTGGAGTAAATGCAGTTGTATCATAGAGCTTGGCTGTAGACAATGGATCGTGTGGTGTGGTCAGGGTGAAAGCTGGAGGCATGTAGGTAGGAATAGCGGTCAGTAGGTTTCCGGTATAGGGTGGTGTTTATGTGACCATCGCTTATTAGCACTGTAGTGTCCAGGAAGTGGATCTCTTGTGTGGACTGGTCCAGGCTGAGGTTGATGGTGGGCTGGAAATTGTTGAAATCATGGTGGAATTCCTCAAAAGTTTCTTTTCCATGGGTCCAGATGATGAAGATGTCATCAATATAGCGCAAGTAGAGTAGGGGCATTAGGGGACAAGAGCTGAGGAAGCGTTGTTCTAAGTCAGCCATAAAAATGTTGGCATACTGTGGGGCCATGCGGGTACCCATAGCAGTGCCGCTGATTTGAAGGTCTACATTGTCCCCGAATGTGAAATAGTTGTGGGTGAGGACAAAGTCACAAAGTTCAGCCACCAGGTTTGCCGTGAGATTATCGGGGATAGTGTTCCTGACGGCTTGTAGTCCATCTTTGTGTGGAATGTTGGTGTGGAGGGCTTCTACATCCATAGTGGCCAGGATGGTGTTATCAGGAAGATCACCGATGGATTGTAGTTTCCTCAGGAAGTCAGTGGTGTCTCGAAGGTAGCTGGGAGTGCTGGTAGCGTAGGGCCTGAGGAGGGAATCTACATAGCCAGACAATCCTGCTGTCAGGGTGCCAATGCCTGAGATGATGGGGCGCCCAGGATTTCCAGGTTTATGGATCTTGGGTTGCAGATAGAATACCCCAGGTCGGGGTTCCAGGGGTGTGTCTGTGTGGATTTGATCTTGTGCTTTTTCAGGGAGTTTCTTGAGCAAATGCAGTAGTTTCTTTTGGTAACCCGCAGTGGGATCAGAGAGTAATGGTATAGATTTACCAAACTACCTGTTACTCATTCAAACCTCTCTTTGTGCACACAATATAAATTGCGGCTCTAATAAATGGCCACCTTCCTTTAACACAGATCATTGTTCCTTGTGACTGTCAGATACCTTCCAATGGCAGCTGTTGAAAGGTAGTGTGTTTCTAGTTCATGATCACCAGCAGAGTCTCTGTAAGTTTACCAACCATAGAGCTGGTTGTGGCTGCATCTAAGTAACTGCAGAGTTAGTGTAGTACCAGAACGTTAATTGCACAGCATCACTTTCTGGTCTCATTAATCACTTCGGTAGAAATAGGAATGGTTTGGTGGTTTTGTTTTTTTGTTTTTTTCTCCCTTCATTTTCTCCTAAGGAATGTGTGATCTTGAGCATGTTATTTTAAGATCCCTGTGGGTCAGGATAATGCCATCTCCTTGAAATAGGTGGGGAAGTGGCCTGTTTGAATAACCTAAAATAAAGGAGCGTTTATAAAGCAGTTTCTCTTTTAAATGTGTTGGGATAAAAATAGTAAATTCCACTGTCAAACATGAGCACAATAGAAACTTTAAGTTACTGCGCATAAAATTGGCTATTATTTATGGGGCCAGGATCAATTAACTACCGAAGAAACAAACTCTTGGGAAGTAGCTGTAATTGTAACCCAAACCTTTCTTTGTTCTCATATGCGATCAGGGATTTTCTTCTAGAGGGCAGAGTTAAGGTTATCTGGCATGTACCATCGCTCTGTATTCCCTGTTTTTCCAGAGTTTGAGTTTTACCAAACTCGATGTTCTGGAAGGGTAAGAGATAGTCACAGTCAAAGTTAGCTCTGTATTAACAAAGCTATTGTTAGTGACAAATAATGAGACTAATCCCTCACTGAGGTAATTCCACTGATTTCGAAGTACTCTTTCCCCATTTCCAGTTCCAAAAAAATAAGCAAATTAAAACAATTTGAGAACTAAAATCCTGTGAGAAAGTGGAAGTTTTAGTAGCTCAAATAATTCAGTTTCTTCTGTCTTGTGCATGTGTAAAAGGCAAAACACATGAATTTATACACACATCTTTCTTAACTTCTTTAAATATTGTGTAGTACATTAACTATATCAAGTGGATTGTTCAATGCCATGAGGTTTTCACGCATTGCCCAAAACATATTTTTCATATTATTTAAATGGCCACAACTCATTGAGCATAAAATTGTGTATTTCATGCTGTGAAGTGTGTCTGTAGCTCAAATTAATAAGTTTATTTTCTCTCTCTCTCTGTGAGGCACAACAAAATAATTTAGTGATGCTGAAAATGTTCCCTTCTCTCCCCAGAACTTCCTTGGAATCTCCTTCCCTTTGTAGATTAATCTGCTCCTGTGTCTCTATGAGGAAAATATTGTTTCAATGAAAAAAACAATTTTTTAATTCAAGGGACTGAGACAGAATGGCCACATGAGGGTGACACAATGTCAGGAACGCAAAGCAACAGGCTCCTGGTTTGCACATTGATGGTGACAAGGGATTGAACGCGACTCCCCTCTTTTCACAGACACATTTGTTTAATTCTCTGAGTCCAAGCATAAGTTTAAATGAATTCCCAGGGCTGATGAAAGAGGACTTTGTAACTGATTTCACTTGTCCACCAGTGCAGTGTTTAGTGGTATAAATAGCACCATGGGCTGGACAGGGAATGGAGACAGACCCTGAGCTGCCAGCAAACCCTGGTTTCCCAGCTGCAATTGGACATGCTGCACATCTGCAGTGATGGTGTAAATAGCCCAGCACGGCCCTTGTGGGGTTTTGTGCCTGGCACAGTGGTTCTGGTAGAAATGCTGATGCCATTAATGGCTGCACGGTGCTATGGCATGATACCCACATACCCTGAGGCAACAGGGGGCTCATTCCACCCCCAGCTGTGATGCAGGGAGTGGGGAGTTAGTTTCACATGCCTCTTTTCAGGCTGTAATCTGGGGCACCCTGCTCTGTGGCGGGGATCCTGGCAGCTTAGGCTCAGGGCTGGAACAGTCGCCTGATTTAGGTGGTGGGTGCATGGTTCCCGACACTCGGATGTCTCAGACAATCTGTCTCCCCCAAAGCCTCAGGCCCCAGGGAAGGCTCCTGCACTGCCTCAGCTCCTTTCACACTCTCTGGAGAGGAGCAGCAGCCCGGATGCAGGTTAAGTTGTGGGGCTCTAGGTGAGTGGCAGAGGCTTTGGGAGCTGAGAATTTGCCCTAGACCTCAGGGACAGAGTGTGAGGTAGGATCCCAGGCATCTCTATGAAAGTAGTAGAACAGGGTTTACTTGCGATGGGAAGTGAATTGAGAGTGTCTCCAGAGTGTGTATAGATGTATTGCTCTGGTTAGAAACTGTGGCTTAAAGGCAGTTCACAGTGGGAGCAGGATTCAAATCTGAGCAGGAGAAACCTACGGGATTTCCAGTTTAACACCTTAAACACCTGGCGATCACAGCTGGGACCCCATTGAAGCCACAGTGCCAGAGAATCTGGTAAATAATCACAATGCCCAGGCTTGAAGTCATCTGAAATTAGGGGACTGGAATGATTAGGGGACTGGAACACATGAGTTATGAGGAGAGGCTGAGGGGACTG